GCAATTAATGGACCAAGTCGACGTTTATTTGCTGGCGATCTCGTGGCATCGAAAGGATACCGAGATCGTGCCAGGATACAACCTTGGTTACAGAACGTAACCGAATCCGCGCGAAGTTACAATCGATGTGTAAGTATAAGAATGGAAGCACAAAATAGCTGTCATTAGCACAGTCAAACAAAAGCACATTTAAACAGTCACTGGTACACTTGGTTATAATAATAATTGTTTTTATTAAACCAGTCGTGTTCTCGTGATAAACGTGAGTCACTACAGGAGCCCCCCGCTAGAAAGGGTTTACACTTTCGATAAATAGCGGTTTGAATCGTGGGACTGATCGGCTGACGAGCGATTGTAGGACGGAAGAATTGGCGAACAGGAAAGCGATCGTTGATCGTCGAGTTGCCAACGAAGGTCGTTTTCGGAGAACGGTACCAGGAGCGATGTGCTGTATGTATTGCTTGAGTTGGCATGCTACACGAGAGTGGTTTGTATCCAGAATCTGAAGAGGGCGTTCGTACGGGTCCGGACCATAAACGCTGCAGACGAAGGACGAAACCACGTTGAGCCAAAAGACCAGAAGCGACCATAACGACCAAGTTTGAGACCAAGCGTATGCCAAGCATTCGAAACCAATATATCGACTGAGTACGTTGACAAGAGCGTGGGTGGCCAATCCAGCTTTCGCCAAAGTTGACTGAAGTCGACGGAACCAAACGGAGATGGTCGAAGGCGTGGGCTCAGGAAACAAAAAGAAAATCAAAAAAAGAAAAGTGTAGCATACGTGTAGTATAGGAATAATCCTACACCGTATCGGTTGTTGACTGTGCGACTAGTCGCGGAGGCGTACGGGTAACCGTACTCGGCGACCGGAACGTGAGACGGCAGTCTCGTTCGTATTTCGTGAGCCTGCAATCTCATCCGAGGTCAGAGGCGGCGTGGTCTGCTGATCTGGACGTGAGACTGTCGTCTCGTCCGTAGAGGGTGCAGATGATGCGTGCTGTTGACCGGGACGTGAGAATGAGGTCTCAGATACATCTAGCGTGGGACCTGAAGAAGATTTAAGGATCCCGCTAGGTTTGATAGGTCTAGCATTGAATCTCAGGGTGTCAGATAGGGCACTGTCATCGACGTGTGCTGGTTTGAGACGATCAATGCTGACGATCTCGACGCGTCCATATCGATCAACCTTGAAGGTCTTTTCGTGACGAGCGATCACGTGAAAAGGGCCTTCGTAAGGTTGTTGCCAAGGTTTGCGTACCGAATCTACTTGTACAAAAACATGTGAACAGGTAGATAACTCTCGAGGGAGAGCGACCTGTCGATGTTGTATTCGAGTTGACACCGGAGACAGCGTTCGCATAAATGCAGACAGTCGATGGACGTAGTCTGATTTACGGAAATTAAGTCTGCTCCGTGGTGTGAAGAATTCTCCGGGCAGACGCAATGTCGTGCCGTATACAAGTTCAGTGGCGGAACATTGGATATCTGCCTTTAAGCTCGTTCTCGCCCCTAAAAGAACGAGCGGTATGGTTTCGTGCCAGTTGCCGTTTTCGTGTGCTCGTAGAACACTTTTAAGTTGGCAGTGAAACCGTTCAACTTAACCATTTGGTGCTGGGTGGTAGACGGAGATGCTTATGCGTATGCATTCCGTACCAAGCAGCCGGGTCAGCGAGGAGAATCGTTAATAGGGTAACATTTCTCGAATGAAGCGTGGAATTCATCATCACGCGAATAAAAAGTGACAAGGATTCGGTACACATACGTGTGAGTCTATTATATTAATACTATTCTTATCGTTATCCGTCATGTCGCGTATATTATATATTAAAAAATATGAAAATATACGACAGACGTGGATAGATAAATCATAGACTCACCGAATTGGCTTCTTTGAAAGATTTGATCAGAAGGCTGCGTGTTCGTATCACGTCGGGCTCACCAATTGTAGACGAATTGAGATTACCAATTGTAGCGTGGCGTCGAGTTGAGACTAACTATGAACACCGCTACCAAGAAACACGTGCCAATTAGATCAGAAGGCGTAAGAAGCTCGTTCCAAATGACTCCATAAAATCCCCGAGAAGCCGAATACCAGAAGGCAATTAATGGACCAAGTCGACGTTTATTTGCTGGCGATCTCGTGGCATCGAAAGGATACCGAGATCGTGCCAGGATACAACCTTGGTTACAGAACGTAACCGAATCCGCGCGAAGTTACAATCGATGTGTAAGTATAAGAATGGAAGCACAAAATAGCTGTCATTAGCACAGTCAAACAAAAGCACATTTAAACAGTCACTGGTACACTTGGTTATAATAATAATTGTTTTTATTAAACCAGTCGTGTTCTCGTGATAAACGTGAGTCACTACAGGAGCCCCCCGCTAGAAAGGGTTTACACTTTCGATAAATAGCGGTTTGAATCGTGGGACTGATCGGCTGACGAGCGATTGTAGGACGGAAGAATTGGCGAACAGGAAAGCGATCGTTGATCGTCGAGTTGCCAACGAAGGTCGTTTCCGGAGAACGGTACCAGGAGCGATGTGCTGCATGTATTGCTTGAGTTGGTATGCTACACGAGAGTGGTTTGCATCCAGAATCTGAAGAGGGCGTTCGTACGGGTCCGGACCATAAACGCTGCAGACGAATGACGAAACCACGTTGAGCCAAAAGACCAGAAGCGACCGTAACGACCAAGTTCGAGACCAAGCGTATGCCAAGCATTCGAAACCAATATATCGACTGAGTACGTTGACAAGAGCGTGGGTGGCCAATCCAGCTTTCGCCAAAGTTGACTGAAGTCGACGGAACCAAACGGAGATGGTCGAAGGCGTGGGCTCAGGAAACAAAAAGAAAATCAAAAAAGAAGAGTGTAGCATACGTGTAGTATAGGAATAATCCCACACCGTATCAGTTGTTGACTGTGCGACTATTCGCGGAAGCGTACGGGTAACCGTACTCGGCGACCGGAACGTGAGACGGCAGTCTCGTTCGTATTTCGTGAGCCTGCAATCTCATCCGAAGTCAAGGGCGGCGTGGTCTGCTGATCTGGACGTGAGACTATCGTCTCGTCCGTAGACGGTGCAGATCACGCGTGCTGTTGACTGGGACGTGAGAATGAGGTCTCAGATACATCTAGCGTGGGACCTGAAGAAGATTTAAGGATCCCGCTAGGTTTGATAGGTCTAGCATTGAATCTCAGGGTGTCAGATAGGGCACTGTCATCGACGTGTGCTGGTTTGAGACGATCAATGCTGACGATCTCGACGCGTCCATATCGATCAACCTTGAAGGTCTTTTCGTGACGAGCGATCACGTGAAAAGGGCCTTCGTAAGGTTGTTGCCAAGGTTTGCGTACCGAATCTACTCGTACAAAAACATGTGAACAGGTAGACAACTCTCGAGGGAGAGCGACCTGTCGATGTTGTATTCGAGTTGACACCGGAGACAGCGTTCGCATAAATGCAGACAGTCGATGGACGTAGTCTGATTTACGGAAATTAAGTCTGCTCCGTGGTGTGAAGAATTCTCCGGGCAGACGCAATGTCGTGCCGTATACAAGTTCAGTGGCGGAACATTGGATATCTGCCTTTAAGCTCGTTCTCGCCCCTAAAAGAACGAGCGGTATGGTTTCGTGCCAGTTGCCGTTTTCGTGTGCTCGTAGAACACTTTTAAGTTGGCAGTGAAACCGTTCAACTTAACCATTTGGTGCTGGGTGGTAGACGGAGATGCTTATGCGTATGCATTCCGTACCAAGCAGCCGGGTCAGCGAGGAGAATCGTTAATAGGGTAACATTTCTCGAATGAAGCGTGGAATTCATCATCACGCGAATAAAAAGTGACAAGGATTCGGTACACATACGTGTGAGTCTATTATATTAATACTATTCTTATCGTTATCCGTCATGTCGCGTATATTATATATTAAAAAATATGAAAATATACGACAGACGTGGATAGATAAATCATAGACTCACCGAATTGGCTTCTTTGAAAGATTTGATCAGAAGGCTGCGTGTTCGTATCACGTCGGGCTCACCAATTGTAGACGAATTGAGATTACCAATTGTAGCGTGGCGTCGAGTTGAGACTAACTATGAACACCGCTACCAAGAAACACGTGCCAATTAGATCAGAAGGCGTAAGAAGCTCGTTCCAAATGACTCCATAAAATCCCCGAGAAGCCGAATACCAGAAGGCAATTAATGGACCAAGTCGACGTTTATTTGCTGGCGATCTCGTGGCATCGAAAGGATACCGAGATCGTGCCAGGATACAACCTTGGTTACAGAACGTAACCGAATCCGCGCGAAGTTACAATCGATGTGTAAGTATAAGAATGGAAGCACAAAATAGCTGTCATTAGCACAGTCAAACAAAAGCACATTTAAACAGTCACTGGTACACTTGGTTATAATAATAATTGTTTTTATTAAACCAGTCGTGTTCTCGTGATAAACGTGAGTCACTACAATAGTCTGCCGATATGGAAGCTGACTGGATGTCAACAAACAGTGTATGAGCAACAAGGTATTTTGTGAACAACCAAGTCTGTCGTTCAAATAGAGCTATTGTACTGTAAAAAGTTCAGAGTCAATATAAAAAACAATCTTTCGTTCAGTAACCATAATTGTTCAAGTTTGATGAAATGGTTGGTGTGAATGTATAATATTTGAATTATCGTATGAACTAGGAATCTCAGAATTAACGCAATTGGATCAAGAATTACGGCACAAGCACAAACGAATGTATTGTATTTGGAATTCGAAATCAAGCATTCAACAAGTACAAAAGAAACATCAGTTAATTCAAACACCACAGGATGTTTGCAGAAATTAACCATTTCCACAAATGCTCACCGTCATGTAAAATCATACAAGGATACTTTTTGAGAAAGAAAACGACATCTGGGATATTTTCTAGCTTTGTTCAGTACCTATTTTAGTCATGGTACATATTTACAAATCATGGATTAAGTAAGCTCGCGATAAGCAAGCGTCTTCTCAGATGTGTTCAAGGTCGGACAGGCGGTTGGTATTTTGAAATGTCGGTCCGAAGGTGTAGGGCCGTAAAATCATCTGGGTACAGCCTGGCACAGCCGATAGATCCCGGAACGCTAATACAGGACTCATTAAAAAGGAGATGGGTCACGGGTTCTGCGATTGGTCAGGGTGGATTTGGACGTATATACTCAGGTAAATTTGGTTCTTAGCTTCTTAATAACTGACGCAGCCAAACTTGAAGGCGAAAAAATTTTTCGCTATGTCATTAAAATAGTAAGGATTTTGGAATTTCTAAAGTAATCTTCAGGAACCGCAAGAAAACGGGCCACTTTTTACGGAAATGCACTTTTACATGAGGGCATGTTCAGAAGACTCAAGTATGTTTTCCAAGTGTATTTTAATCAGGAGTATAAAAAGTTGTTACTTTACTTCGTACTTGGGTTCAAACTATTGTTTTAAAAGGTAATTTTTTACTCTTCAGGCTGTACCTGGAAAATAATCCTTTGCCATTAGATACACGATCAACATAACTATTGCTTGGCATACCATCATGTAAAATAACTTGTTAAATATGGGGATGCTCTCCTCGAAAGGTATCTTCCAATCATACAGACAAATTAGTCGTAATAGAGAGGTGTTTAGGTACTTTATCCGAAAGTGTGTCCTGTTTCTTGATGCATCTCACTTTGCTACTAATTGTTTTTAGCTTCATAGTTGAAAATTGAAAGTTATGGGGTGTTCTGTTTCTAAAGTGACGTATTTGTTGAGAGCCATTGTACAAAAATGTCGGTTTGGAGGCAAAGTTTAGCATATACATACAGCTGTGACCATCACTACACAATAGTGAGTCTTGTTCACCATCACCACCACATTTTTATGCAGTTATTCGGTTAGGCTGATTTATGGAAACCTTTAAGTGACTCTGAAGTAACCTTGAGAAGATTCGCTTGCTTATTACGGTCGGCAGTTGAAAATTATTATGGGAAATCGAGATTAGGATTTAAAGATAGGGTTAGAAATTATGGTAATGGTTTTCAACATGAAATGACATCAGTTATGATGTAGAAACGCTACTTAACCATATGTATGCCAAAATCCTAAACTTTAGCGTTAGTTTTCTTGGTCTGTCCGTAAGTTATGGTCTCCCGCTAGTTACTTGTTTTGGATGAATTCCCTGATATTCACATCACATTCAGTGTATCATGTGCTTCCCACAGTTAATAAGCGTTTACTTACGATAGAATTCCTTTGTGGGTATCTCTAAAATGCCGTTCGTGCGTTGTGATTGACAAGTGAAATAATCCTGATGAATCTTACTACTGGTATGTAATGTTAAATAAATATAGCCTTATTCTGAAATTCCAAGACATCGGATATCACAACTTGCAAGAAACTAGCTTGGGAGGTTAATCCACGTGGTTCATAAATTTATGGAATGTAAACTTATTAAGCATTTATAGTTTCAAGAAATATTTCTTGTTCCTCATTATGTATCTGATTGTAACGAATATGTGATTCTTGGTATGTACAAAATGTCCGGTATCTGAAAGCCAGTTATTTCCACAATGTGTACACTTAAGATGTGATTGGTAGCAGATTTAAGTGCCTGCAGATTACTTTAGAGTATGGCCACAGTAGTGGTTTTATTCACAAGAAATGGTTTGTTTGTTACGAATAAAATAATTCATTTGTTTTTACTACATCACTACCACCATTGGAAAGTGAGACGAACCTCCTTGATTGTGTTTTTTAGCACACCAAAAGTCCTTTTTTGCTACAAACAATCGTTTATTACCGTTGGGCACAGAATGCATATTATATTTGTTAGCATAGTAAACTGAGTATTTCAAGAATGATTCTCATGATTCGTACTCAGTTTGTCTCGTATTGTATTACTAGCACCACATTTCCTCTCCAGACGGGCATGGATAAGCTGAGAAAGCTTTTAGAACAGTATTGCAGTTGCTCTTCCTCTTCCTTAGACTCTAAATCTTTTAGGCGGATAATTTGCAAGCTTCATCGTTCTTCGTGTTGAGATAAACCAACGGATATTAGGAATCTGTTGAGATGTCCAAGCTAACTCCCTATCCGATAATGTATTATGTTTTGGATTACATTTTTATGACTTCCGTTGAACCTGTTCCATATTTGCATTCTAGTTTTTATACAACCTGGGTTTTTACTCAGCCATATTTCTGGATAACGCAGTAGTTTTGAATGTACAGACAATAGATTTCTGGGATGTAATAGTATAATTAGATGAGTTACAGCTGTTCAAGCAGTAACCATTGGTATAAAGTCTGCTTGTGTTTGAAAAGTTAGGATACCAGTGTGATGCACCAACGTTGCCTAATGTTGCGTATGAGCAACAGATTATTATCTACATAAGACTAGTGAAGACACTTACAGTTATGAAACAGGTTGTTTCTACCTACTGGGGCTCCTGAAAATGTGAATTCAGGTTAACAACTAGCATCGTAACTTCCTTACTAGATTTTATAGAGCATAAAATAACCTCAACACTCCTAAAGTTTATACGAAATGCTGGGGACTTAGTTAAGCTTATTTACTGTGTGTAATGTCCATTTTTTGAGCATTTATCTTGTAAATGACTGGTAAAAGTATCCGCGCTTCAATTGATTATAAGTATATATTTCTGTCCTTGTTGCAAACCGGTAGTATGTATGTATCAAAATGGACTTTATCTTGGATTCTTCGCTGACGAATTGGGTTGCTAATTTGAACAACTTGACTGCAGCCGGAAATCTACGGATTTGGATCACTATAATTTTTTGGTCATATGGTATCTTTCGTCATCACAAGTATTTAAAATCTGGCAAATATGTTTACCTGACTGTTAAGGTGCTTCAGTTTGTTGCTTCCTTTGAAGGATTAGAAAAGTTAAGTGTTGTTTCAATTAAGTAGTGGGAACTGGTAACCAAATATAAGTTCTTATACTAGGATGTGGGTCATATTTGTTGCTCAAATTATTAATATTGCCAAACTGTTTGACTTGAAGTAAACTGTTTTTGTATCCGTAACCCAGTGATCAAAAGTAATAAACGTATCAACATGTCCCGGTTTCACTTTCAATCTTTATCCTGTTATCATAGTATTTAATGGCGATAGTTTTGTCTTTATAAATGGGAATCGTTTCAGTGAATCTGTGACCCAAATAACGTTATGCGTTTACAGTTAGTAAGATCCATAAAAAATGTCTATCACTGTTCAGGCGTTTTATTTCGTAAACTCATCAATCAATCCGCTTGGTTTCGAATACATATTTGTATTTTAAAATGTTCTCTCCTATTTAAGATTTAAGCATACTCATATTTAGTAATGTTTACCTGTTGTTTTTTTCACACGGTTAATATAAAAGTCAATTCATGGAAAGTAAAACACTCCCTCAAATACCTTGGTATTCCGAGGTATATAAGCAGTGGATCAATCAATTTAAACAAAGCAGCTCTCCGATTTCTTGTAATGGATCGGTTTTCTGGAGATTTGGAAACTACACTAAAAAATAATGAAATATCCACATCTGGTATTCTAGAAGCCTGTGCAAATGTGGTGAGTATTTTGACCATAAAGCTGCGTGTCATTTAGCTTTTAAAAGATTTTATTGTATACTGCGTATACTACAAACCTTTATTTGTATGTCTTCTGACTGGATAAAATGACGCAGGGCTCGGGAGTTTATTATTTTTATTTAAAGCATCTCACTTTGAGACAGCATATTGAAGAAGTCAGCGTGGTAGAGGAATAACATTTTGATATGGTACTGACTACTGTATTTTTCATCAATAACCATTTTTAAAAATTGTGCTTTCATAATATTTCTATCATATCGTGCTGGGTGAAGAATGAATAAAACCAGCCGTTCATGTAAACACAAGTTGTAGAGTAGGATATATACTTAAAATTAAAGTGAGAAAGAGAATAGACCAAGCGGAGTTGGGAATGCACCCAGATATAAGATGATATAAAGTTCAGACTGATCAAAATGATGTAGTCACCGACATTGAAGCAGATAATTGTTTGAGGAAAAGCACTCTCTGGGCCTTATAACAGTATTAAGGACTGGATTTCCTGATTAGCCGTTGACTAGAGTAAATGTATCTGTAACTTGTTTCTACAAGGTTATGGAGTCGATGTAAACTAGTGGTTTGGATTCAGAATTATCTAACTACCCTAGGCAGATTCTCCTCTTATCCGCTTTAGGCGTTGAGCGTTTGATTTCACCCTTACTTCTTATAGAAGCACTACGTGAAAGTATTGAGTAAAATTTACCCTGAAGAGGTCATATATTTGAAATTGCATTTTTGTCAACCTTCCACATAGTTTAGGGTACTGAAATTATTTGCATAATTCATTACATTAGCCTTCGTTTTTCCTAACAGCGTTTTTGTATTGGTAGTTTTATCTAGTTCATAATCTTTAAAACGTTTTAGTTAAATGCGTTGGAATATTTGCATTCAAGGGACTATGCACATGCAGATATCAAAGCATCAAATCTTCTTCATAGAACGTCGCAACAGGAGGTTAGTTTTGGATAGTTAATTAATTGTGTAGATAATTAATTTTGAAATTTCTTTATATAACTGACCTCTTCACGTTTGCAACTGTAAACATCCTTTTTAAATTCATGTGAGACATGCATTGGTTTACATCACTTATTTTCCTCACAAGTTGTTTTGACCTACTCTATGTTACGCTATTGGAAAAATGTTAACGCAAGATTTAGTAAACTCATTGCAATTACTTTGTAACACTATATTCTCGAAATTCTTGACTCTAGCCGCTTAGTTCTTGCGAAGACAAACCTTTCATGAGACTGAAGAATATATTTTATACAAAGTATCATCTTCTACATAATTTCTCTTTTCGGTAATTGTTTATTACATTCAACCAATTACTAGCTTAAAAACGGATTTCTCAATGAACAGATGTCAAAATTGAATAGACACATAATAGAAATCACAGTACAATGCATACTGAAATAACTAATAACTGAGTTTATCGAAATCTAATCGAATATTAAACCGAACTATTATCATATCGAACTGATCAAGCAATCATACTTTCTAACACTTCATCAGTTGCCCTGGAGAAATCCCACATCATTTCGCGGAGGACCTAATATGGCTAGTCAGAATCAGCTCTAAAATCTAGTCCTTATTTTATTAGCTGATGAGTAACTTACAAATGTTATATTCTCCAAACATTTTATATTTGATCATGTGCATATTTGTAACTAATATTTTGGATATGAACATGTTATTTTACCGAAAAAAATCCTTTTTTTGAACAGAATGACAATGTCCTTCTTGTACATCCTATGATTTGAGTCGCTAATCTGGTCTCATTAGTAGTTATCGCTTGGTCACCTAGTATTATTGAACATTATCTACTGATCAGCATCCTGTTTATTCTTTTTAACAACCCTGTAAAGGTGAATCATCACAATTCACTAAAATCTATTTCTCCGTAACAGTTGTTGAAAGTGTTTCAGAATAGAAGTGAACGAGGATCCTACTACAGTGTTCTTAACTGCGATCGGCGGTCGATGTTAGGTGGCATGACTAAAAATTGGCTACAATAGTGCAAATACATTTATTTTCTATCTTGTTTTAGATCTTAAGATTCAGTATTCTTTCGTAGATACATTTGCATTCTGTCTTTCCATTTGGTCTTTCTCACTATTATTACTAACTTTACTTTGATATTCATTTTATTTTCATCTCTTCGTGTTATTTAAGGATTGGGTAGTGGACATGTGCATCAGGTTCTACGTTTATAACTGACACTTTACATTTTCCCACTATGCTATCAACCGTAAAATATGTATCTTCAAAATGAATAAAATCTTTCCCGGTTGTGGCGAGACCATAATTTTTATAATCTCACTGAAGATTATAGTTAATAGATCAACCAATCAGACTTAAGATAGTAGTGTTTTTTTGGAATTTTGTGCAAAGTCCGTTCATTCATATGGCCACAAAGCATATTTGGATTATTGCTAGTGTCAGTTAGTATCCCCAGTCCTAACTAATGATCCCCAACACTAATTCTTAGCCCTGTTTTGAGCCTAGTAAGTGGTTGAAATTTTTCAAGACCATCTTACAATGTGTCAAAGGTCTCCCATAAATTATAATCTCACCGAATTTTTGTTTGTCCTCAATAAAATTAGAAATGAAAACATACTTGATCATTCCAAACTCGTTTTTAAAAAAAAATTAATTTCAGGTTTATTTAGCTGACTTTGGTCTAGTTCACTTATTTCGTTCAAAAGGTGTACATACTGCTGAAAAGGCAGATCCAAAATTTCGTCACAATGGAACAATAGAATTTTGTTCAAGAGATGCACATAATGGTTGGTATATTCAGAAGAATATATTTTTGCATTTATCTGTTATTTTAAATGATTTTTTACTCACATATTGTGCTGATGTTTTTTTCAGAATAAAAGTTTCAATACTTTTCTCAGTTGTAAAATGTAGATACAACTCGAAATATAATGTGTATTTGTATTAAGTTTTTTTTATAAGCTAGAAAAATTACCCAACTAGTTATATTTGCTGAATTATTGGAAAGTCGTAGCATTGAGTAGTAGCAATAATTATTGTCTTTTTGTATGGTTGTTTCTAGTTATTCCTCTTCACTCCGTTGAATTGTAGTTGGAGATTATTTTACGTATAGGGTATTGAGTGTTAAAGTATAACTCAACAATGTTTGGATGTTCTGTGAGTATTATCGGGATATTGATTTCTGAATATATATTACCTATTTTATACTTCTGATAAATCTCATTATTGGTTGTTTAAATATGAAACATTAAACAATGAGCCCTTAATCAACTGTAATTTTATGGAGCCGTTTTCCATACACTTAGTCAATTCAATCTACGCGGATCGGCTTAAATGATTAGTTAAGCCCCTCTCAAATTCAAGTTCATGTCATTTTGGTGTAGTTTTTGTACACCAATAGGAAATAGTCTGATTGTATTTGTTCGAGGAGAGTTTTTTCACATTTTTTATGTCCTAGATCCCACGTTCTGTTGTGCTTTGGGTTGTTTTTTCTTCCAAAGTTAACTGGATTCTTCAAAGCTTTGATTTTTGTCGTGCATTATGATATCGGTTGTTCTCTTAGCAGTTCTACATGTCTACCAGTGTATTTGTCACCATGTATGTTTTTCTTAGTCTTATTTTTTGTTTAATATCTTAAGTAACAATTGAAAAGTAGGCAGATATACAGGTTGCATCCAGTGTATTTCACGCTGAATTAGTATGTATGTTTAATGTTAAATGCATTTTGTTGGATAAATTATTATTTTCTTACCGTGAAGTGCTACTTGTCTTTTTTATTTGTAGGACTTCCACCATCTCGTAGAGGAGATTTGGAAATTTTGGTTTACAATCTCATTCATTGGTTAGCTAGATCTCATCCAAATGCTCCTCAATTGCATTCGACAGGTCTTCCTTGGGGACATCTCATATCAGGTATTTCATCTATAGTGCAGTCGTGATTTAATGTGAATTGCTTTATACACTCGCTAAATACACGTTTATATTTATATCCCTTCAAAAACATCTTTGATCGAATACTAGTAACGCACACATCTAACCTCATTGAACATGTTTTTACAGTTGTAAATTTGAAATACAATGATCTTGATTTTTAGTAGGTTGTCAAACAGATCTAGTGACGTATTGACGAACCAGCTACCTAGAGAGGAAGACAGTTAAGGATTCGTGTCTGTTCTGATATCAAGCATAAGTAATTTTTAATCTATCAAGGTTGATACTTATTTAAGGAAAATTATTTATTTTATTTATTTAAACACATAAACATAGGTACAAGAAGGCATTAAATAGATATGCGCCACATAAATCACTCGATTTGTGTGAGGGCTAGGATGCTGACCGAGTGCCCAAGCCGAAGCAGGTGGTTTTCTTAGGGAGCCACATCCCGAGCCATTGACCTAAAGGTCTAATCCACAAGGGAATGGAGGAACGTCAGGAGATGCAGTCCCATAGTAGCCGGTGACCAACGATTGGTTCATACGCCATTTTTTCCCTCAGGATAATGGAGCCCATGTGCACCGTTGGTTTGGAATCAGGGTTTTCCAACTCCCCTAAGTGAACTCTCTATGTCCACCAACCCGGTTAAAGTACTAGAGTTTCTCTTTTCGTCCTCTCAATTTCGTAAACAATACCCCCGCCACGAGAAGGCATTGGGTAGGACTTCCCTAGCAGAGGCTATATACGCGTGGCCATGTGAGAGCATTTCGAGAGGGATAGTTGACTCTCCCCACTCTCGGCCGTAGCAGGGCATTTAGGGGTTAAAAACAAACGACACATTGAAGTTTTGTTTTGTCTTAGCCCATTGAAGATTTTAGTGATTTGTAAGAAGAATCCATGTCTCATGAGAAAATGCGATGACAATGTTTCTGTTTATCATGAATGGATTAGGTTTTAAATATATACTGACCATTAATTTCAGGGTAGAATAACCAGTCATAACATGATTTTCGTAAGACTGCACGGAATAATAAAACAGTCGTTTGTTGCTCATTCAGTCCCCGACCGTTGTTGCTACCTTGACGTGGTGGTCAGACTTGCCTATCGTGATGAAGCAACCGAGCTATACTGGCTGAAACAACCGTTCCTCAAGGTCCTACTATGCCAGAAAAGTCAGTTGAACAGCGGTAAGACTAAAAGCAACAAATCCAAGGTCTGAAGGCGAAGTCGTATTGCTGACTGTACAGAGGTGTGACAGCAGTAAGGTGTTTACTTCAGACAACCAGCATAACAACGATGCTGCCTTCCGACAAGGAGGGGTGGGGTTAGAAAAGGTCGACCCTAAAAATGTACACCTCGCCTTATCCCACGGATATCCGTCTCCGGCGATAAGGTCTCATTAAGTACGGAGCTAACAAAAATTACCCATGAAAAGGTCGTGTGTGACCGACCTCAAGCAGTTGTCCCTTGGGCACTGCGGTCATGCTCTCAGGTCACCAAGACCACCTCTAATCCAATTTTCTTTCCAGGTACCTCCAGAAGAACCCTTTCACGGTGTAAGCAACCGGGAATTGATAACCGCCCTCATACCTCTAACAGCACTCAAGACCACTGTATTCATAACCAATCTCCCTCTTCAATTCCCATTGTTCCTCTTATGTCGACTTTCAACTCTAAACTTGCTTTTTTGACTTCCTCCTCAAGTGTCATCATGGTCAACGATTCTAGTGCACGAAACACTGTCTCAGGTCTACTGAAACCTCGCTCCAAACTACACATTGGATCCTTCAATGTACGCACCCTATGTGAAATCGGTCAGGAGGCCTCCTTGACTAGGACCCTAGAATCTCGTACGACTGATGTATGCTGTGTCTCCGCAACACGTATACAGGATCCTAGTGTGGTCACTCACTTGACCTCACTTCGGCGAAACGGAGAGCTGACGAGATACATCCTCCGTGTATCTGGCGACCCGATGGCCAATTCTCGTAGACCGGTAGGTGTAGGTATAGCACTAAGCATGAGGGCGGATCAAGCACTGTTAGAGGGGATCCCCGTTAACAGTCGTCTATGTGCTGTTCGGCTAAACGGCTCCGTAAGAACTCGGAAGGATAGGGTCACACGTTGTTGCCTTTTTGTCGCTTCTGCCTACGCTCCCACTGACTGCAGCTCGGATGAAGTGAAAGATGAATTTTACAGAAAGCTAAACGTTCAAACATAGTACTCGTAGTAGGTTATTTTAATGCCAAGATAGGTATCTTAAGCCAAACAGAAAGGCATTTAGGTGGGTATTTTAGTATTCCGGCACAGCGAACAGATAATGGTGATCGTCTGCTGCAACTGTGCTCAGACAATCGTTTATTTTTAGAAAACACTAATTTTAAGCATAAGGAGAGATCATTTGACATGGCGACCCCTTACAACAAACCAACGATGGACTCAAGTAGACCATATTGCCATCAGTCATCGTTGGAGAGGGTCGGTAGAAGATTATCGCCCATTCTGGAGTACCTACTTGGACTCCGGTCATGCTCTATTACGGGCACGCATCTGCTTGCTCCTCATTGGACGCAAAAAGCCACACTAAAAAGACCCATTGGAACTGAAATGAATAACGAGAAAACCAAAAGTAGGTTCCAGGAACAACTAAGGTCACACTTAGGTAGTTTTGAAAACGAGGGTGACCCAGATGTTGCTTGGAAAGATATACAAGCAGCTGTGGAAACAGCAGTGACGTCTACTAGTGATTTAAACCACAGGGTTACAAAGAGACAATGGATTTCTTCAATGTCTATTGCACTGATAGATCCTCGTAAACCCATCCCATCAGACTCTGAACACGACGAAGAGCGTAAACAATTCAGATCTGGGTTATGCAAAAGTCTAAGGAACGACCGTGAGCAGTGATGGGCATCGAAAGCAAAAGAGATGGAAAAGGCGGCGGCTATAGGGAACACAAGACAGCTCTTCAGACTAATAAAAGAAACTGGAATTAATAAGTTAATTGTAGGTGAGACTATTTTGGAAAAAGACGACACTCTCATCTGCTCTCAGTCCAGACGTTTAGAACGATGGGCGGAACATTTTAGAGAACAGTTCAGCTGGCCTTCAGCTACTCTACAACTACCCTCCATTGGGAAACAGTGTGAATGGGATATTGAGGTAGGACAAAGCCTTTAGGAATATGGTTAATTTACGTGCTATATACACTGTCCATAGAAATAATTAAGTACTTTATCCGTTTAACTCCTTTTTAATCTATGACTCGATATTAGGTAGTAGGTCACCCGACTCTATCTGAAATTCAAAAGTCTATAGTCAGTCTGAAACGAGGAAGAGCAGCTGGTCCAGATGAATTGGCTCCAGAGGTCTTTGAGGATGATGGTCCAATTTTAGCTAGAATCTGGGAGTTGGACGTTATCCCATCTGACTGGTCACAATCACTTATCGTCCCAATGTACAAGAGAGGGTCAACATCATCCTGTGACAACCATGGAGGGATTAGTTTAACTAATGTAGCATTTAAAATACTAGTCTCGATAATTATCGGACGCATAACTAAGATTCGTGAACTACAAACACGAGAGAATCAAGCTGGCTTCAGATCTGGTCGTGGCTGCATCGACTACATATTCACCATTCGTCAGGTTCTAGAACACAGGCATGCTTATCGGCGTCCGACAATGGTGGTCTTTCTTGACTTGAAAGCAGCATTTGACTCCGTAGACCGCGAGATTCTGTGGTAGTGTCTGTCACTGAAAGGCGTACCTCAGAAGTACATAAACCTTGTGAAGGTTCTTTACTCGAACACTACTAGTCGAGTGAGAGCTTATGGAACCTCAAATGGTGTCCGTCAAGGCTGTCCACTTTCATCATTTTTGTTTATCGTCGACTGAATTCTTGGGTATTGATCTCCTACCAGGAGGTCCACTTACTGAATTAGAATACTCAGATGATATAGTCCTGTTTGGTGAAGACGCTGATAAAATGCAGTCTTTTGGTAGCACTGAGCAACAATGCCAGAATGTTTGGGATGCCCTTCTCTCCCTCTAAATGCGAGTTGTTGCTTCAGGACTGGTCTGCGTCAACACCTGAACTAAGGTTAGAGAGTGGAGTAGTCGAACGCATTGACAACTTCACTTATCTTGGAAGTCTGATCAGCCCTAATGGGTTGGTGTCTGACGAAATCTTAGCATGGATTCGAAAAACTCGTTCGGCTTTCGCCAACTTACGTCACTTATGGCAAAGGTGAGATATCCGTCTATCAATAAAAGGACGAGTATACTGCACGGCAGTTCGTTCTGTTTTACCTTACGGCTGCGAAACATGGTCATTAAGAGTCGAAGATACTCGTAAGCTACTAGTATTTGACCACAGATGCCTTATAAATATTGCTCACATCTGCTGCGATCACCGGCTAAGTAATAGTGAAGTTAGACACAGGATATTAGGGAATGATGGTAAATCAGTTGATGAGGTTGTGAGTCTTCATCGACTGAGATGGTTGGACCACGTGTTGTGTATACCTGAACACCGGATTACCACGACGCTCAGTGCTGACTAGTGTTGGAAATGGTTGGAAGAAAGTTAGGGGCAGCCAAACCAAAACGTGGCATCAGTGCTTGAAGTCACTAACCTCTAGTCTGTGTCATGTTGGTAGATGCAGACTACTTGGTTGAGGTCCGCGTGACCATCGTAACCTATGGTTGGAGACTTAGGGTGATACAGCTCAGAATCGACCACAATGGCGTAGGTGTATACACTTTCGGTCTTCCTTTAAACTGTGAGATTAAAATCGCTTCATATCTTTCTTTCTACGAACTAATTCTTTCTTCCTGTACTATGTCCTTATATGCAATCTTTCTTTTATATATTACCACCACTGAATTAACTACTTTTATGAATCCGGTGTTTATTTTGCTGTGCTAATGAGGTATGGCAACTTGAACCGATGCATATATGTGCCTGATCCTACGTTGTAGCTGACTGACTGACTGCTCATTCAGTCAGCCGCAACATGAAACAAAATGTACGTATGCACATTGGTTCAAGTTACCATACACCAATAGAACGGAGAAATGAAATTGTCAGGCAACATTTAAGAGCAGTAGAGGTATTAACAGTTTTAGTAGTGACAGAAAAGTCTAAGCTTTGAAGGTTGCGACTCAAAAAATATAAATTAGTGAAATAAAGACAATGAAAGTTATGGGGAATTCAGAAGCCTAAAATTTGAAGGAAGATAAAGAATGGATACACTTGCGCCGTTGCAAACGATTTCGAGCCATGTCATTCAAAGTCTCTAACCATTGGTTACGATAATCATACGGACTCCAACCATGTAGTCTACACCATTCGTCAATGATTACATGGACTGGTGCCATGTTTTGGTTTGGCCAACCCTAGCTTTCTTCAAACATACTCCTACACCAGACAAGATCACCCGTCAAAGTAGTCGGTGGTTTGGCATATATATTACGTGTCTTAGTCACCTCATTTGATGAATAATACCTCACAATCGATTTGCTATCTTTACCCAGTACTCTATTCCTAACTCAGGCACTGCTTACTCAGTGGTCCCAAAATACACGAAAAATTGTTTGAAGATGTCTGTGATTGAATACTAGTAATCTGCGAATTTCCCCTATTTTTAGCGGCCGTTTTTTACACCTATAAAGTAGAACGAAGCGAACTACTGCTCAGCAAACCATTAATTGCTGCCTGATTTCTAACCAGTTATTCAACTGATATTTATCCATTCCCAAAATGCTTGCCATAAATGATGAAGTCACGAAAACCACTAACACTATAAAAATATTTTAAATAATGCATCTTTTATGGTATTATCCAGTATCTATCATGTTAAATAATAGGACAGTATTTTTATTCTAACCTCCCCACTCACCTGTTTATGTAGATCCAAAACTGCGTGCAAATGTTCCTGATCGTGTGAAAGTGGCTGTGGCTACCTTAAAAGAGAAAACAATGAGAAACCCTGCTGAATTGGTATCACAAGCTGGTTACGGACCTAATCCTGGTTGGTTTTAATATTTGTATTTTTCTATTTACTTACTACATTTGGTAACATTTTCTCAGAAGGTTAATCAATCAGTCGTGATCAAAAATGCTTTTAAGCTTGCCGCCTACATATGTCTTCTACTTTTGTAAACTATGTTTCAGAGTCTTAGAATAATGCAACGCAGACTATTGTGAACTATATTCGCTCTTTACTTGGTAAACGGATATCTCACCTATACTACAAGTGACGTACGTTGGTTGAGCGAAGGGTGCCTTAAGAATTCGTGTTGATATTTTATTAGGCACTACTCCAGCAGGGCTGATTAAACTTTAAAATTCAGTGGGATAGTTGATGCAATCAATCACTTCACTCCTTATGACCAATCTAAGGGATAATGCAGACCATTCCTGAAACAATATTTTACATTTAGACGGAGTGAAACACACCATAAACGTGCTTGTATTGTTATTCAGGGCGATCGAAGGACTAAATTATATCATCATCACCAAAATCGACTATTTCATCTGCTTATTCACAGTCGATAAATGGTCCTTCCTGTAGACCAATTCTCGAAATTATCTTATGAAACATTATTTGGTATAGAAAAACGTTTTCTTTATTTTTTTACTGTACAAAAATATCTGTACATTCTTAAACACCATAAATTGCTATCGACTAGCCTAAGTGATTTAAGATCTGTGATTACAACGGGAAAAATTTGAAACAGTGGCTAACAAGATATACGTTATTCCAAGTTTTTACATTTTGAAATAGTGTATGGGCATTCAAGACTAACAACACAAATCATTTATTGATAAAAAAGATATGACAAGAGGCAAAATGAATAAGTTCTCAGTGTATTCAGATATAGTCGCTCTATCAAATGTCTATTCAACTTGTAGCTAAAGGTACTATTAGTGTCTGCTTCACCGGCTCATACTCAGAGACTGGTTCAAACGCAGTCTTGTATATGAATAACGAGTATATATACAAACCCTTACAAAAATTATAATGCTAATAATATCGACATTAATGTTTGTTTATGTTTATGTTGTTATTGCGACCTGATCGTAACTGATCTAATCTAGCTATGCTGAGTGGAACATTCATACCTTCAGGTCATACTATACCAGGCAGTTTTGTTAGAGAGCTGTAAGACTAAAAGCAACAAACTCATAGTCCTAGGGTAAAGTTGTACTGCTGATTATACTGGAGTGTGGTAGCAGTAAGATGTTACTCTCACACAGCATCTGCAGCTATACTGTTTTCTCGAGATTGAAGGGGGGTAGGACATGTCAGCCCCTAGAAATAGCACACCTCACTTTGGCCCGTGGATTTCCATTACCTACGGTAAGACCTTTAAAATCAAGGTTAACACATTTGAAACCAAGGATACAAAAGCCATGTGTGGCCAGGCTCAAACAGTTGAGCTCTGCGGTCACTCTGAAGTCATCAAACCCATTATGAACCCAAATCCCTTTCCAGATCTTTCAAGGTGAAGTATACTTCCACAACGTGAGCGACCTAGAAGTGACAACCACCCCGATACCTCTAACCTAATGATTGATTTTTATTGTGATAGATAAATTTTGTATCCAATGTTTCGCTTTTTTGAGAAAAGAATATGTTATTTTGTTCCGTTGTTATAGATATACTAGCATTTATTCAATCTATCATAAAGCTGAATTATACAGATACACCAGATTATTCTCGTCTACGTCAATTATTGTACAATGCAAAATGTTCTTTCAGCAATAAACAATCTACCGTCTTGCCAAGCTATAAATTAACTATGGAATCGGATGAAACAAGTATCAAAGCTTCGCCTTCACGGCGTAAATATAATATAGATAATTCTTCAAAGGTAGGTAGATATATTTGCAAGTATATTTTTATTGAGAAAAAAGTATTTAGATAAACTGAAAGTTATTAAATTAAGATTTTTTTCATTTTAATTCAATATAATATATATTTAGTGTTGAAGCTTCTAGAGGAAGTTTGATTGTCAGATCATGGTAGTGGTTGTCAAAGTAGCAATTGTGGTCACTACGATCTTTTGTTCAAATTGAAATTCCTAAGTTATCGTATTAAAGTCTTTGGGGTTATCCTACTTCTCAGTGACATATTGGGTTTCTGAAAATCATCTTTTGCCGTCATCTAAACTTACATATATACTTCTGTCAGTGTTTTCCAGAGTTCTTTCAAGAAATCCATTCATTTAAATGATATATGAATGCCTGTCAACTAGGATCCAACCAATTTAGTTAGTCAGTCATGATTAAAGTAAATTCTAACATAAATATGCGTTAATTGAAGTTAACACACCAAATCATCAAAACAAAATGAATAGCAAAAGAGTTAAAATAATTACAGTATCAGTGGTAGTGAGAAAGAATAAACTTGAGAATGTCGTTCAAGAAGAAAGAATGAAGTCGTATATATGAAGAAATGCCGGAACTCAAAATCTAGAGAAAAGTAAAGAACGGATATATTTGACCACAATGACTGGTTATAAACCACATCATTTAACATCAACTACTGTTCGCAGTTATTGTACATATTCTGACTAGGTACTCCGCACCTACCAACACTGTTCAATCTACCAGTCAGTGATTTAATGAACTGACACCTTATCCTAGTTTAACCGCTGTTAGCTTTCTTCCAACATATTCCTACTCCAACCAACCGTAAATGTCGAGGTTGGCTATGGTTGAAGTTGCGTAATATAAGTACGAACCACACAATAATCAGTGAAAAGGAGATAAGTCATTGAAGTAGTGGAGGAGCAGTGAGCATCAAGGGATACAGTTGGAGTTGTAACACAAAACGCCCCTCATTTAGTTTAAAGATAAGTCTTACTAATTATGAAAAATCACAATAGAAACTGTGGTAGAGTCATCGCTAACATGAAATCTGAATTATTTCTAACAATGTGCCAAGCTACTGAATTTTGTTCCGTGGATTTTCATCCAGGTATTCATGATGAACCAATAGACACTAGCAAAGCAACTTTCGTTCCATGATTGTCTGTCTTAAACTCAGAACTTTGTCCCAGCATACGAAATAATCCTCGATTGGGGAACCGCTGGGACAATATGCCTAAAATGTCTCCTGATTACCGAGTTTATTGTCCCAGTTATGGTAAGACTTATGAGATAACTGCTTCAACTATCCCCAAACATACATTTGGAGAACTCCAGATTTCTTACACTATGTTACTGGTGAATGTAAAGTGTTTTCCATAAAAAAGCGTTTGAAAAGATTTCATATGCTTTGACCTATTCTTATTTCATGCAAATATGTTTGTCACTTAAAAGATCAGTTTCAGAGACCCTCTTTTTTCATATTATTCATTGGGAATATACTCGTTTTATTGCTCTTTAAAGAATGCAGTAGAAGCAAAGGATAGATTTCATTATTTTGATCATTGTGTATGAACACTTCTGTTACGTATTCCTCAAATTTACTTATTTTATGGTTTTCTTGTGCTATCCTATACTTTTATTTTTGCTATTATACTTTACTATTGAACCTGTCATGATAAATATTCACTTTCTTTCTATATTTCACTACTACAGATCAATGATTCACGCGCTTTAAATTCAGTGGAGAATTTGGAACTTATTCATACAATTCCAAAAACTCCAGATAGTTTACCTAGTAAACGACCCCGAGGTCGTCCACCCGGTCGTTCCAAACAGTTAGAGAATATATCACCAGCTGTTACTTCTTCGTCTGAAGTAGTAGACTCTCTAAAACACTCTAAAATATCTGAGATTGATGCGAAACCAAAGTAAGTGTAAAGATCAAATCTTTATTATTATTATTATTATTATTATTATTATTATTATTATTATTATTATTATTATTATTATCGACACTTATCATCTACTTAGTAACAATAGTTTCGGAAGGTAACTGTCGGAGTGCAAGTGTGAAGCTGTAACTAGTGGAGTTCAATCATGTGAGTCAGTTCTCCACTAATGGAATTGATCGATGGTTGCTAAATGTGGCGAATTAGTTGTGGTTGGAATTGCTAACCACTAGATTTCGACTTAGTGGTCCGAATGTCAGGCGCTTAGCATGAAACTCGAAGGTCTTGGGCTCGACCCCTGGTGGGGTCGTGGTTTCCTATTGCTAGGGAGTCTTATACTAGGACAACGCATCTGTTCAACATTTCTTGGTTTTCAATGGCTGTGTAACTAAGGTCAATAGATGATGTAAAATATATAGTTTAGTTTCATCAGGTGTTAGTCATTCCATGTGTTTATACTTCTATAACACATCTAATTGACTTTACATAGATGATTTTTGACTTGTTGAAGAACTACTCTTTTCAGTGGCTGATAATAACTGTTGTAGTACGTTCAACACTTCACATATGCCCAAACAATTTCTAGGTTACTTAGTAGTTTTAGATTTTTTTTCATGTAATCAGATTGATATCTGTAAGCCTGCTTGACTTTCATTTCAGAATTATAAGAATATATCTTGAATATAAGTTTTATATTACACCAAAATCAATTGGATGGGTACTTTGATTTGAACGCTCACCTGTGGTGTTTGAATTCTCAGTTATTTTCACAGTTGAATCACCAAACAGTCAAGTCCCAGCTCGCCCAATATTTTAATTATATTTATAGGTTATAGGTTATTTGATAGTCAGCTTAATTAGTTCAGTAGCCTAACTTTAGTGTGTACCATTATCATCAGTGAATATCTCTTATTACTTCTAAATCATCTTGGAGGTGTTTTGTTCTTTGATCTGAATTGTTTAATCTTAGAGGCGATGTATTCATCGCCATCATCAAAAGTGATCACCTAGAAGTATTTTACAGTTTAGTCAGTGGTATCTTCAACGACATAAAATCCACATTGATGATAAAATCAGACAATAAACTACCATTATCGGATGTGATCGATCACCAGAACGAATTCGCGAATGCTTGAGACTCGTGTCGAAAATCAAAATATATTAATGAAATCCTTTACTACAACAACAACCAAGTATTGACTCAAGAAATTTCACATCAGAAAAAACATAATTAAACCAGATAGCTCAGATAACACGAAACACCTTTATGATCTTCAACCCGTTTACTTTATTTTATTTGAACACAAATATTAGTACAAGGGGGCACCATATATATGTGCCACACAAAACAATGAGAATGGGAAGAGAAAAAAGGTAATGTGCGTATAAGAAAAAAGAGAACAATAACTACCACAGATTAGTGTAAGGTAGTGTAATAATAATAATAATAATAATAATAATAATAATAATAATAATAATAATAATAATAATGGGGGAAACGGAAAGGTACGACCAGAAGAATTCTTTCAGTTAAGGAAGATACAACCACTTTTTGTAAAGAAAGTAAAAGTAGGTTGCAGCAGGATCGCCATTGGCTTCTATTCTGAGCCATATCTGATAACGTCTATAGCCAATGTTGCACCATCTCTCGGACCCCAGCCAGGGAGTCGTGAAGGACCAACAGAAGCCAGCCCTTTGCAGCTTTCCTTCATACCACGACACCGTGTATTACACTGACCACTTCTCCGCTTTTTCCAGCCAGTCTCAGCGTCGGCAAATAATGCACGACGTGGAATTCTCTCGGCGACATTCGTAGAACATGTTCAAGCCACCAAAGTCTATGTTTCAAGATGGTGACACCAATTGGATTATCGTCTGTGCACCTGAACACACGATGCCGAACCTCTGCATTACTGACATGGTGTTGCCACTGGATGTCATCAGTCCTTCGGAAACAACGATGATCGAACACAGAGAGTCGTCTAACGTCCTCAACTGGGAGAGGCCAGGTTTCACAAGCATAGAGCAAAACTGCTCTCACCGATGCGTTGTAGATCCGACCTTTTACAGCCAGACTAACATCACGAAGGCGCCAAAGGTGGCCCAGATTGGCATAAGCCGCTCTGGCTTTCACTATTCGTACATTGATCTCATCACTCACACCCCCACCAGTACTTATGCAGCTACCTAGATTCATGAACTTCTCGACTACTTCTATCTGCTCACCATCCGGGGTGAGTACAGGATTAGAATCCTGCCAGTCTTGTAGAAGTACTTTGCACTTCGAAGGTGCAAAGCACATACTTTATCTACGGACACTGATTGCCAACTGATTAAGTGCGGGTTACATGCCTTGGGCATTATCGCACAGTAAGACAATATCATCCGCATACTCAAGGTCAAGAAGTCTTTCTCCAGGCAACAGATCCACACCACCATTACTTACATCCATCAGAGCCGTTTCCAGAATGTCATCGATGGCAAAGTCGAAGAGGAATGATGAGATTGGACAACCCTGCCTAACCCCACTACTCGAATGGAACAATGGAGAAAGGTGGTTGTATGCCCTCACTCTACCTGAGGTGTTTGTATATAGGGCCTTTACGGTGTTAATGAACTTCTCAGGCACATCCTTCTTCAATAGACCATCCCAGAGAATAGTCCTGTCCAACGAATCGAAGGCAGCCCTAATGTCAAGAAACACTACGATTGTTGGCCTTTGATAAGTATGGCGGCGTTCTAACATTTGGTGGAGGGTGAAGATATGATCAATACATCCTCGACCTGAACGAAACCCAGCCTGCTCCTCGCGAGTCAATCTTTCTCGGGTTTTGAACAACCTACGAAGTATGACGGAAGCCAATAGCTTGGACGCAAATGGAAGTAGACTTATCCCCCGATAGTTGTTACAGGAACGACGTGAACCCTTTTTAAAGATAGGGACAACTATCGACTCATTCCATGACGTTGGTACACTCTCTAGTTCCCAAACCTTTGTAAACAACGTCGTCGATTCCTTAGTCAAAAAGTCACCACCATCTTTAAAAAGAGCCGGAGGTAAGTTATCTGGGCCAGGTGATTTGTAACGCTTCAAGAGTTGGAGTTCCTTGCGGACTTCCTCCTCATTTGGTGGATCAGTCGTCACCGGCCATGGAGGGCAGGACAGTCTGACCAATGTTGCCGGAGCAGCAGGCCAGTTGAACTGCCCTTCGAAAAATTCTGCCCATCGTCCAAGACGTCGATGGATGTTAGTGATTGGCATCCCGTCATCCTCGCAGATTGTTTCGCTCACACCAGACTTCTCGCTGTCAGTGGCTCGGATGAGTTGGAAGAGCTTCCGGTAGTTACCAGATGCAGCTGCTGCTTCAATGAGTTGTAAGGAGCCTGAAGAAGCCCAGTGCTTGTAGGCGGGACGTTTCACGGAGCCGCACGCGGCTTTACTCGCCATTTTGATGGCGTCATGCAGTTGCAACCAATGCTCATCTATACTTTTCGGTGGAATGGTAGCTAGCCTAGAAGCTAGCTCAGTTCTATACTTACTAGCAACAGAAGTTGCAACCAACTTGCTAACATCAATCCTTTGGTGGCGGTCACTTTGTTGGCCACCGAAAATTAAGGTAAGATTGGCACAGACCAAGGCATGGTCAGAGTCCAGATAGGTACTCCAAAAGGAGCGGCAGTCTTGTACACAACCACGCCAGCGGTCGCTGATCGCGATGTGATCAATCTGAGTCCAGGCTTGGGATGCAGAGGGAGGACGCCAGGTGGCACGTCGGCGATGACTGTGCCGAAAGTTAGTGCTAGCCAGAAATAGGTTGTGGTCTGTGCAAAGTTGCAGTAGACGGTCCCCGTTATCTGACCTGCGACCAACGAGTCCCCATCGGCCACCTAAACGACTCTCTTCTGTGCCTGGACGCCCGACCTGAGCATCCAAGTCTCCAGCTAGTACTACAATATCTGTCGAACGCACTTTCTGGAGAAGAACAGATAACTGGTGGTAAAACTCATCCTTGATTGCATCCGGGCTGCAATCTGTCGGGGCATAGGCGGAGATGACGAAAAGACATCGTTTCTCACGCCGATTTCTCACTTTGATGGAACTTTGTAATCTAACAGCACATAGCCGACTGTTAATGGAGATCCAATCGATTAGTGCTGCATCAGCTCTAGTGCTTAGTGCGACACCAACGCCAGCAAGACCAGGCGAAGATGCCACAGGGTCCGCGGATAAACACATTTAAAACAAGCTTTTCTAAGCGACAGATGGAGAGCGAATTTGTAGTACTTCACCAGAGTCTTGAATACGGGTCTCGGATAGACAACAAACGTCGACATTAAAACTTTCCTATCTGTTGTCCGACCTGCATAAGTGTGCGAACGTTGAAGGCAGCCAGTTTGAATGGTGCACGTAGTTTCAGAAAAACTGCTTCAGTATTCGTATTTGGTGGTAGCATATAATTTTCAACCAGGCAGTGACTCGAGATCGTTTAGATAGAACCGAGTTTCCACGATGGGTGAGCTGCTGTATAAGTTGAAAAATAAGGATAAACAGATTGGGAATAAAAGAGAGCGAATAAATGACGTGGTAAATAATAATAATAATAATAATAATAATAATAATAATAATAATAATAATAATAATAATAATATGAATTGTTTGACTGTTGATCGAAGCGTAAGTAGAATTTTCAGTAAATATCGTCATTTTCATTTTATTTGTGTATGGGCTGTTATACTGCCCGGGTCCCCAGACCGAAGCAGGTGGGGGGCAACCTGTTGTACTACAGATAATCTGGACCGTCGTTAAGTTATATCTGCCATTTAAATGATTCGAAGAATACCCTGTCTTAGATGTTCCTAAAATTTCTAGTAATAAGTACTGTACGCTAAACTTCTAACATATCAGTGGCGAAACAGTTGTCATCAATGAGATTGGAGTAATCGTCGTGCTGTCCCATAAATACCCAACCGTTCATCTGGATTTAATCACTGGTTGGCTCGTGGGTGCATACTGCTGAGGAGCATCATACTATGAAGGAACAGTTGTTCAATGCTCCTGTTTTTTAAATAATACTTCATTTGAGATCAATCTTTGACAAACAATCTGCAAATTCAATCAATCTCCACACGATTCCTTCAATTAAATCTCTTATGATCATTATGTTGTTCATAATAGTCCTAGTTGATGAAATTAATGAACTTATGAGTGTTTTAAATCCAAATTAATGTTGTTCAAGAGGTTTTCAAACTTATAAACCATTATGAAATAATTTAAGGATATGCATTCTAAGGTCTGACTGTCACTAACCTGAGGAATTTCAAGTTCCTTAACTGTTGGGAGCCCTCAAGAGTGTTCCGGAAAGATTTTTAAAAGCTACAAACGCTTCGTTCAATCATCGTCGAATGAAAAAGGCAAATTATGCGCTATATCCTGTTTGAACAATTTCCTATTTTAGCATAGTTCCAGGAGCTTCCAAAATGTCAAGACCATACAAACTAATAAATGTCAGTGTTTTCAGTACTTAAACTAACTTTAGAAGTAATGTTTCTTTTCATACTTTCTCCCTTTTATTTCCCGTTTGAGTTCCAAGTCTTAGAGGTTTCTATGGAACTAGGGTGTGGTTAAAAGTCATGTACCAAACCTATTGTTAACAAGCACCATTCTTAAGTTATGGTAATGACTGTGTTGATGACTGATCTTCAAGTGAAGTTGATGATTATATAAGAGCGGTGGGTTGACGGTCACACTACTTAACTTCCAACTAATTGGTTGCATGTTCAAGTCCCTTTCCATCTCTAATGTGTCAAGGTCAAGTTTATAAACTTGTTAGTAATTAAGTTATATTTTATTCTAATAATAGTGTATTTCACTGTTCAACGATTCCTAATTGTTTTTCATATCATTATCAGTTCATAAATAGATAGATCTGTCTCTTTTAGATTAATGTACAATTTAAAACTGCCAACCTAAATTTGTAAGAATATAAAGTGAAATTTCCGTCATATTAATAAGCTAAAATTATTATATCCTAAATGGTGTATTAGTTATTGTTTTTTTTCGCTTAAATTTCTCATTCTACAATTATTCAGCTCTAAAAGAACTAATGTGAAAACGTTGAATTCTCGATCGATATGTTTAAATTCACCAACTAAAGCATCTACTCCTGATGGTGGTGGACTTATATCGACGGTATCCGGTAATAGATTTTTGAGTCCTAGTAGTACTAGTAGTAGTAAACATGGAAATTCTGCAGTTCAACAACGTGTCCGAACTCGACTTATTGATTTGTTTTCAGACAGTGATAATGATGAGTCATTTGTTAGTCAACATAACTTGTCTAAATCTCGTAAAGATACATTGAAATCAGCGCCTAAACTTCAATCACCGAAGCAATCATCACCGTTTGTCAAACAATCACAACAACAGAAACGTCAACCACTAACAAGTTCTACTTCAAAGCAATCCCTGCTTAAATCCCCAGAGTTTACGTCTTTAACCGCTGATCGTAGACGTTCCGGTTGGTGTCAAACATCACCAGAACTGTTAGCTGTCGCCAAAGCTGAAGCATTAGGTCGTAAGGCTTTGAAACTTGCAGAAATGAATTTCAATTGAACCTGTCTCATATACATATATACCTGTTTGTGGATGTATATTTATGTCTTTGGTGTATCAATGCATTTCCTTTGATCAAAATACTGTGGATATTTATGTTTCTTTGTGAAGATATTTTTTGTTCGATGTATTATTTTATTCATATCACCATATTTTTTCGATTTGTTGGAAGAGGTTGTGGTAGATCTTTATTTTTTTAAATATCTGAAAAAGTTATATATATGATGCTTCAGTTTTGTCACTTATTCATCGAAAAATACTTTTTCCTCCGTTTCTTTCCACCTTAATTTGTTTATTATATTATCGGGATGTATGGTTGCCCTAATAAGGAGACATTTGATCATCAATATCTTCGAAGTATTGAGGTAAAGCTACCGAACGTGTGGTTGTAAGGTACAAAGTTCTTGGCAAGGAAAGCTATTCAATCGTTAATGTCATGAACCTTCACTACGCTGTTTTATTTCGTCAAGGGACAATAGCTAAATTACTACTAGAAAGTAATAGCGTCATGGTTGTGTGGATCCAAGTGTGACATCAATTTACGTTGTCACTGACTATTGTTTTGATGCACATAAGGAAGTGTAATTTACTTAAGTGGTTGGTTAAATACCTCCAAGTAACGACTGATCCGAAACTGGGATATCCCTACTATATTCTAGATTTTATTTTCTTTCTTTAGATTTGTTTTTACCATATGTATTTTTTCTTTTGTGTTGCAAATCGTAGCAACTGCCGACGTACTTTGATATCATTAGTTGTTATATTCAATAAAGCGATAACTATATGTTTTAGCTTAATGATCAACCTGAATTTTTCGACAGTTTTATTGCTAATGAATGGTGAAAGAATAAATGCGATTTTAAGTCGGACATATTTATTCGTGTGTAAAACAGATGAAAGATCCCAAGTGTATAACTGAAAAAATGTATGTGTCTACCTATTTTGTTGCTACGTTCTTTTCTACTCAAGTACTTTTCTAGTAGTTTAAAATGTAAACCTAAAATTATTGTCAAGTTTACTCAGTAATGTTAAATTTTTTCTGTAGTAAATGTTACTCAGAAAGCAGTGTCTTCCGTAATAGTTGAGAATATGTACACGCATTCATTCATACCATATAACTAACGTGTTGAGGCGGATAATAAATGTTCTATCAAACTATCTTGCAAAAGATATTTGGTGTTTAATGTCAAGGATCATTCTAACATGATGGACGGGATAGCTGTTTCATCCTAATGTTGGATTCTTCAGCAACACACACTTAGAACCTAGTCAGGGATCGGACTAAGAAGCTTCATGTTTCTGAGTCTTAATCCAATTATTTATATTTCTAACTTCATTCAATAATACTGATAATGTTTTATCTTAACACTTTAATTGTCAGATGGAATTTTAATTGCTAAATTGAATTCAACATATGAAATAAAAGAACATAAAATGTCTTGCATACTAGATAATTCATACTTAAGTCTCTGTAGAAATTTGGACATTTGTAGCTGATATAAACTAAAGCAAGACAGTGGAAGATATGTACATAACATAATCATTACAAATGGAAAAATCAAGCTATTGTTTTCCATCGAGAAAGATCAACATTGAACACAGTGCAGTAGTACAGTCTGATAAAATAAAGCGAAGGGTAAAGTAGTCAAGCTCCAGTTTCATTAGTAGGTGTTGAATTGTTAAGTATTGATTTAAAATTAAATGACTTAATTGCTTGGACCCACGTGGAATGAGTTGGTAGATAAACATTCACTGAATGGTAGCTATAATTCTGTTGGGTATCTCTGAGGTCTACAGTAACTACAAACAGTTGGATTGTCGTTTTAGTAAGGAGCTGGATATTCACTAAGTCAATAGACCGGGCGACTGATACAATACTTCAACAATAATCCGCCGAGTAGTGGAAGTAACGAACTCGGAGCAGGATACCCTATTTACAAAGTCAAAACTGTAACGAAACAACTCTGTACATATAGCGACAGTTTTAGCAAAGTAAGAGTGAGAATCAGCTGAAGTTTTTTTTATAAAGGCATTGGTTAAAGTTTTACAAAATTGTCGAATGCAACTCTGCGACTTCTGATTGCTAGTCTTAAATCATGAAGATAAAAACGGTATATCGACGGGCCAATTAGGATAATGAAAATGGCCGGTTATTTTTAATGAGATTAAGAAATGAATCATACTTGTTTCGACCATGTAAGATGAGCACTACAAATATATCTGTATAGTCCTCAGAACGTTCCAATTAATAGCGTCAGTCAGTCAGCTACAACGTAGGATCAGGCACATATATGCATCGGTTCAAGTTGCCATACCTCATTAGCACAGCAAAATAAACACCGGATTCATAAAAGTAGTTAATTCAATGGTGGTAATATATAAAAGAAAGATTGCATATAAGGACATAGTACAGGAAGAAAGAATTAGTTCGTAGAAAGAAAGATATGAAGCGATTTTAATCTCACGGTTTAAAGGAAGACCGAAAGTGTATACACCTACGCCATTGTGGTCGATTCTGAGCTGTATCACCCTAAGTCTCCAACCATAGGTTACGATGGTCACGCGGACCTCAACCAAGTAGTCTGCATCTACCAACATGACACAGACTAGAGGTTAGTGACTTCAAGCACTGATGCCACGTTTTGGTTTGGCTGCCCCTAACTTTCTTCCAACCATTTCCAACACTAGTCAGCACTGAGCGTCGTGGTAATCCGGTGTTCAGGTATACACAACACGTGGTCCAACCATCTCAGTCGATGAAGACTCACAACCTCATCAACTGATTTACCATCATTCCCTAATATCCTGTGTCTAACTTCACTATTACTTAGCCGGTGATCGCAGCAGATGTGAGCAATATTTATAAGGCATCTGTGGTCAAATACTAGTAGCTTACGAGTATCTTCGACTCTTAATGACCATGTTTCGCAGCCGTAAGGTAAAACAGAACGAACTGCCGTGCAGTATACTCGTCCTTTTATTGATAGACGGATATCTCACCTTTGCCATAAGTGACGTAAGTTGGCGAAAGCCGAACGAGTTTTTCGAATCCATGCTAAGATTTCGTCAGACACCAACCCATTAGGGCTGATCAGACTTCCAAGATAAGTGAAGTTGTCAATGCGTTCGACTACTCCACTCTCTAACCTTAGTTCAGGTGTTGACGCAGACCAGTCCTGAAGCAACAACTCGCATTTAGGAGGAGAGAAGGGCATCCCAAACATTCTGGCATTGTTGCTCAGTGCTACCAAAAGACTGCATTTTATCAGCGTCTTCACCAAACAGGACTATATCATCTGAGTATTCTAATTCAGTAAGTGGACCTCCTGGTAGGAGATCAATACCCAAGAATTCAGTCGACGATAAACAAAAATGATGAAAGTGGACAGCCTTGACGGACACCATTTGAGGTTCCATAAGCTCTCACTCGACTAGTAGTGTTCGAGTAAAGAACCTTCACAAGGTTTATGTACTTCTGAGGTACGCCTTTCAGTGACAGACACTACCACAGAATCTCGCGGTCTACGGAGTCAAATGCTGCTTTCAAGTCAAGAAAGACCACCATTGTCGGACGCCGATAAGCATGCCTGTGTTCTAGAACCTGACGAATGGTGAATATGTAGTCGATGCAGCCACGACCAGATCTGAAGCCAGCTTGATTCTCTCGTGTTTGTAGTTCACGAATCTTAGTTATGCGTCCGATAATTATCGAGACTAGTATTTTAAATGCTACATTAGTTAAACTAATCCCTCCATGGTTGTCACAGGATGATGTTGACCCTCTCTTGTACATTGGGACGATAAGTGATTGTGACCAGTCAGATGGGATAACGTCCAACTCCCAGATTCTAGCTAAAATTGGACCATCATCCTCAAAGACCTCTGGAGCCAATTCATCTGGACCAGCTGCTCTTCCTCGTTTCAGACTGACTATAGACTTTTGAATTTCAGATAGAGTCGGGTGACCTACTACCTAATATCGAGTCATAGATTAAAAAGGAGTTAAACGGATAAAGTACTTAATTATTTCTATGGACAGTGTATATAGCACGTAAATTAACCATATTCCTAAAGGCTTTGTCCTAACTGGTCAATCTCGGGACTTCTAAAATGCTTTTGTACTTATAAGTGTTTAGAAAGATGTTTTGTTATATTTTTTTTACCGTAAGTTATTCATTTACAATACCTGTTTTCTGATGGGCCAACAACAGTCTAGAAGCTATTGTTGTAATTCAAACTCGTCCTATACTGTGATGAGTTCAGGATGGAAATCATTCAAGTTTTCGATCTAGATGTATTAATCTACAAATTGTCTATGGTTATTTTGAATTAATCTTTTTGTAGTACACTCAACAAGGAAAGAACGATAATAAGGTATTATTTCTAGTTATAAACAAATCCTTTCAATTTCGCATTATAAAATATTCAATCAGTTTTATTCACTCTTTTAATCCAGGAAAATATCTACAACCTAATGAACCTGAACAAGCAAAATTCATTTCAATATTAATACAAAAATAAAGTAAATTAAATGTTGTAACCATATATTGACTACAAACTATAGTAATACAGAACAATAATTGTCTGTGGATGTTTAAGTTTTTCATATAGGTACATTTATTTGTTGTAAACTTCACTATGATCGTTTTAGCGATTGATCTACTTTGTTTGGTGTGTTGATGATGCTTTCATTGCATTATTTAATAATGTCAAGTAATCAGATGATCGTAAGAAACGTGCATATGAATCAGTTCTTACTAGATTGTAGATATGTTCTTGTGCCAAATCAAAACAAAATGGATTAGGATTCTGTCAATTTTTTAGGAAAATAAAAAGTGAATTCTTTAACATAAGACAAGTTGAATGGAATCATATAATGCAAAATGGCAAGAAATGTTAACAATGAATGTCATGTTAATAAATTTCTGAAATGTACATACTAATATATTTGCACTTTGTCTGAGAGTGAAATCACCATGTACAGATACGCTTTGGTAGTTCACTTGTTGTTTGTTATCTTGGAATGCTAGCTTCAGTTGATTGGATATGTTTTATGATTATCTTTTGAGTGACTTACATGTCATGCATTATTTTTCAATGGTTGAAATGGGTAGAAAAGGAGTAGAGGCTATCAGCCTTTGACATGGCTTCATGGTGCGAAATAAATTTATATAGAATTAATATTTTTCAATCCATCACAACTTCCTGAATTAAGTCTTTGAATTGATGTAACTCATTGGATTGAAACATTATGAGACATGACTAAATATTAAAACAAGTGATGATCTTATTGTAGTTTTCTTTTACGTTCTTCATAAAGTGAGAGGAAGCTTTTTTTAACTAGAAAAAATTTATTTTTGATTGTATTTTTGTCTGAACTGTATCTCCTCTTATACACCTACATAATTATGTTTTTGATTATACTCTTCACTTCTTTATTTCTTTATTATATATTATCTAGTTTGTGTAGAGCATAGTATTTTCAATGGACAGTTGTATTAGAATGAGTGTATATGAAATAAAATAAACTGTGGAATTAAGTACATGTGTTTCATTCAATTTCAGATTCATCAACTTCTATGAAATGTTTATTGTTATAGAATTAATTCACTCACATTTCTTAACATATTATCTTTTTGTTAATGAACATCTCAATAAGTTACTTCTTATTGTTAATGATATTATCCTGTTAGGAAGTTATAAATGAGGTGAACATTCTAGCTAGTTTTTATTGTGGTCTGTTAACTAACATTAATAATATTATTAGCTACGAAATTTATGCTTATCAGC